GAGTCTGTGCTCAGATGTCACCTCCTGAGGGGGCCTCCTCTGACTGTCCATTTAAATGTCAGCCCTTCTCCGGCCCCCTTGCCTCATTCCTATTGGCCCCAGCGATGCCCTCCTCTGTCCCTCCACAGTGTGCTCATTGGTTCTCCTCTGTCCCTCCACAGTGCCCTGTCCCTCAGTGCTTACAGCTGCTGCTACTGGCACATGAGCTCCAGCAGGGCCGGCATTTGGACCGGCTTTGGTCACTGCTGCCTCCCAGGGCCCCGTGGGTGTGGCAGGTGCTCAGCATGTGTGTCGACTGGACGAACGAAATCCGTGATGGGTCAGGCCGCCGTGGGACGGAGGCCGAGTTCAGGTACCCCCACCCCTAAATGACGTTTTTGCTTCCAAGCCTGTAATTCTAGGGTCTGGGGAGCCGAGCTGCAGGCCTTTTCAAAGGAAGGCTGATCATTTTGTTAATTATCAGGCTGGCAGCCCTGCCGACGATAATTACGGGGCGTCAGGCACTGAGACCCACAGCAAAATCTAACCAATTAACCAGAGTGTGGGGGCTGGGGGAGCCAAGGGCCTCTGCTGGGGGCCGAGCACCAGGGCCCCTTGGGCGCGGCGAGCCCTTCACCTCCGTTGTCCAGCAGCTTCCCGCGGTAGATCTTGTCCTCCACCACGTCGGTCCAGTAGAGGGCGCTCTGGCTGAGGTGGAAGTCCAGGGCGATGGTGTTGCGCAGGCCAGGCACCAGGACGCTGTAGTCCCCTTTTTGAAGGTCGATGCGCCGGATTTCGTGCCGGTTGGAGAAGATGATGAAGGGCTTGAAGGGGTCTGGAGAGGGGTGCGGTGGGGGTCAGCAAGGGGCTCGCTGCCTCCGTGCCACCCTGTGCAGGGTGTGGATGGAAAAGGGGTCGCCTACTAAACCTGGCAGGCATGGAGGGCCCCACAAACTCAGAGACTGAAAATCGCCACAGGGGGGTCTGAATGCACAAATCCCTACGTGAGACGGACTCACAGCAGGTCGTCACTCCTGGCCTTAGCTTCCTTGGCAAGGTCGTCTACCTGAGTGAGCCTGTGGTCTTCTCGCATCTAAGTTACACACCTTTGGAAGGTCAGAGTATCTTCTCTTGCAGACCCTCAGGGCACAGCCTGGCACCGAGGAGACCACAGAACCTGCCCCCGTTACTTTGTTCCCAGGATGCCACCTCTATGTGCACACATTTTAGTTATTAACCATCCTGGACCCTCCAACGTAGAGTATGTGCCTCTCTACTGTTTTTTAAAATATATTTTATTGATTTTTTACAGAGAGGAAGGGAGAGGGATAGAGAGTTAGAAACATCGATCAGCTGCCTCCTGCACACTCCCTACTGGGGATGTGCCTGCAACCAAGGTACATGCCCTTGACCGGAATCGAACCTAGGACCTCGGCCCGCAGGCCGACGCTCTATCCACTGAGCCAAACTGGTCGGGGCTCCCTTTACTTTTATCTAATCCCAGAGAAGCTTTGTTTTCTCCTGCCCCTTAACGGGCCACCAATGGACTCCGTGTAACCTTCCTCTCCCTTTTATCCTAATGTATAAAACAAACTGCAGAACTGCCATCCTCTGGAGCATGTTCTCCACCTATTGAGATTTTACTTCCCAGCAATTGTCAGTTTGACTCAAGTAAACTAAGAAAATTCTCTACAGGTTTGGACGTTTCTTCTGTCTATAAGGGGAGGCAGGGTGTCTGTTGGCTCTGGGGCTGGGCCTGACAGACACCTTAGCCTCTGGCATTCAGCCGCCCAAGCCCAGCCGCCCACAGCTCAGGGACCTGCCTCAGCCTGCCCAGTGCCCGGCTGCCACCCGCCACCCTCACCCGTGTTTTACCCAGGCTGCGGCAGCTCTCGCCATCTGGCTCCAGCACCCATCCCTCGTAGCAGGAGCACTTCACGCTGAACTTGTTCTGGTCGCACTTCTGGCTGCACTTGAGGTGCTTGGCACAGTAGCTCTGGATCTGACAGGTGTGGCTGTCAGGCCCCAGCTCCATGCCCAGAGGGCACGAGCACACAATGCCTTCCCCGGGTGCCACTGAGCAGTTGTGGCTGCAGCCTCCGTTATTCAGAGAGCACTGGTCTGTGGGGCAGGGATCAGGGGACAGGATCAGGGTCAGGATCCCAGAGGGGGCAGGACCATGGCCCTGCTGGGCCCCAAGTCCCAGGCAGCCCAGGCACGCTGCCCCCTGCCCCTCCCTTCCTCCCCGCATCCTTCTTTTCCATTCCCGTCAACCCTCTGTCCCACTGCTTCCCAGGCTTTCTCAGGACCAGGGTTGGGACCCCAGCACCCACCATCGGGATCCCCCACTTCCCACACCATGTCTGCATCTCTCTGGTCTCTACTTCCTTGCCACTTCTTGAGCCCACGGTGGGGGCCCCAGCTTTTTGCCTCTCTCTGGGAGGATGGGAAACCCATTCCCTTTTCCTCGGTCTCTCCTGATTCAGGGTGAGGTGCAGTATGGAATGTCCCACCCTGGGCCCTGACACGCCCTGGGACCTGCCAGCCCTGACAGATGACCCGGCAGCAGTTCTCAGGGCCTGTCCGGCTGCCTTATCTCCCACTCCTCTCCTTTCGGGAACCCGAGGCTCCGCCTGGAGATAAGGCGGCTCCGCTCCTCACCCCCAAGCCGCACCATGTGCCCCGTCCTGACCCCATTTCTTTTGATCTTGAATGCACACCCTCCTCCCCCCACGTTCCCACTCACCCTGAAAGATCTACCATCTCTGAGAACCCAATTAAATCCCCACCTCCTCTGGGAAGCCTGCCCTGACCACATCAACACTCCAGCCGGTGCCTTCACCTCAAAAGCCAGCTCTGCGGCACGCGTGTGGGTGAGGTCTGTGCCTGCAGCGAGGGGCTGCGCGCACTGTCTCTACTTTAGGAGCTGTGTGACCTCGGACCAGCTACTTAACCTCTCTGTGCCTCCGTGTTCCCATCTGTAAGGTGGAGTGTGTAATCGTATCTGCCTCGCAGGGCTGCTTTATGGATTTAATGCTATAAGCGTGTGATGTGTCGAGCACAGCCTCTTGCGAAGGTGAGTGGTAAATCCACACGGGGTGCTGGGAACTGCTCTGGGCACTGCTCGCCCAGCAGCCAGAGCTGCCCTTTCCGAGTCTCAGACCTCTCCCCGCACAGCCTGCCCTGCTCCACCTGCCCCGGCCCTGGCCGGACTCCTTACCCAGCACCTTCCCCACCCTCTCCTGGGCCTCCCGGGCCTGGGCCTCACCGCAGAGCTCTCCCTCATCGGAGCCGTCTCCACAGTCGTCCTTGCCGTCGCACAGCTTGTCGGGGGGCAGGCAGACTGAGGTGTTGTTGGCACAGGGGTGCGAGGGTGGCCTGCAGGCCAGGGACTCACAGTTCTCCTCATCCGAGTTATCTTCACAGTCACTGTCGCCATCACATACCCATGCTTTGCTGATGCACCGAGCTGAGGGGTGGGTATAACATGAGGGGCCAGGCCTGGGCTTCGGGCTCCCTATGTCCTTCCCAGACCCAGTGGAGTCCTCCAACAGGGTCATGACTGCAATGCCTTGCGGTCCACTAGGAACCCAGAGGCCTTTTCTGTGAAATTCACACAGCGAAGGAGGAGGAATCTGCAGGAGGTGAGGGCTGGGTTCCCGGGGCCCTTAGTGCAGGCTCTGCCCCTTCCCGTCTTCCCCACGCATCAGGCACAGCTCTTTCTGTGCGGGCTTTTGCCTCAATGCCCCCACCTCCACCCCTCACAGTGCGGTGCTATCTCTGCTCTCAGTACGGTTTTCTCCTGTCCACGCTGCCCCATTCCAAGCTCCCTGCAACACTTCTCTTTACCGGAGTCCTTGCAGCCGAACTTGACGTTGGGGTCACAGACGTGGGTCACCCCCTCGCAGCTCTTCTCGTCACTGGAGTCCATGCAGTCAGTGTCCCCGTCACAGCGCCAGCGCAGGGGGATGCACAGCCCATCCAGCCGGCACTGGAACTCATCACTGTGGCAGCCACCAGGCGGCCTTGTAGCTGCAGGGGACGGGGGAGGGCATTGGGTGGGGCAGGGGCTTCAGGTCGGCCATGCCCACCTCTGCCTTCCCAATCCCCCTGGTGCTATGCCCAGCCCGAGGCTATGAGCAGAGACAGAGGTGAACTGCTGACACTCCTGGAAGCACCGATGAGGCAGGCAGGGAGGCTACAATCCCAGACCCGAAGGTCATCTCACCTCCCTCCCTATTTTACACGCGGGAGCTCGACTGGATAAGCAGTTTGCTCGGCCAGAGCTCAGCTGCCCCCGCCTTAGCCTAGCCCCTGTTTCACTCACCCACTCCACAGACACTTAGTGATGGCCTACTGTGTGCCAGGCACTGTTTCAGGTGCCAGCACGAGCAAGACTCCATGACGGGCCTTTTCCCGTCATGGAAGTGAAGCTCTAGGCGGGGAGACACAGACAATGAAACACAACATAGAAACCCAGGATGGAGTTGCAGGTAGGGGTCGAAGCTGTGGACACCAAGCCGGGCCAAGGCTAGCGAGGGATGAGGATGCTGCTTTCGATGGGACAATCGGGGAAGGTCTCTGAGCAGAGGCCTGAACAGCGTGAGGTGTATCCCAGGCAGAGGGAACAGCTAGTGCAAAGTCCGGGATAGGACTACGCAGGGCGTTCTGGACAAATGCCCAGGGCGCAGTTGAGGCTGCACAGCCAGAGCGGAGCAAAGGAGGAGATGGGCGGCAGGAACACAGGTCAGAGAAGTGGGCGGAGCCCTGCAGGCCTCGCAGCAACATTTGGTATTGATTCTAAATGCGTAGGGCGCCAGTGTGGGCTGAGGGCAGGGCTGGGGCATAATCTGTCTCGGGTCCTGCAGGTTATGCTGAGCTGTGACCCCGGGGGCCAGGGAAGGAGCAGGAACAGATGACTGCACCCGCCTGACTGCCACCACCACCGGGGCCGCTTTGCCCACCTGCCCCGAGCGTGGCCAAGGCTCTCCTCTGGTGCCTGGACTTCAGCAGCAGCCCACACGCCGAGTTTCCTTCCTTGGGGCCCCTGAACCGATTTCTAATCAAATCCCCTTCCGGGACCGTCTTCCGAAAGACCTCCTACATCCTATCGCCTTCCAGCTTCGAAATCCTTTGAAGGTCCTCGGCGCCCAACTTTCCTTTGCTGTAACCTGCCCCCTTCAAAACAGCCTCATTCCTCCGTCCCCTACGGTCCGAGGGGCCCCACCCGGCCCCACAGGCCCCTGTGGAAGTGCTCAGTGTCACCTTCTTCGTCCTACCACTGGGTTCTTCAGGCCACCCCACCCCCACCCTGCAGACCCTCAGTCTAATCATTTACCCACAGTCTAATCCCTCATCAGGCCCCGGTTCAAATCCCGCCTCCTGAATGGTCCCAGCCATTTCAGCTCACAACCATAGTTAAGGATTGCTACCCACCATGACACCCCTGTTCCCGTGGGCCAGGCCCCCACCCGTCTCCTCTCATTTCACAGAGGAGGAAGCGGAGGCTTAGAGGAAGCGACTTGCCTGAGCTCGCCCAGCTTGTAAATGAAGCTTTTCCCACCAGGCCACGCACACGCCTCCAGGGACCCTTTCTCTGAACCCCACGGCACTAGCACCTGCTCTCCTCACCCAGCCTTCGTCAGCGATGGCCCTGCAAACCCAGTGACTGTCCCCTGGGCCTGGGGACTCGCCCCTCTTCCCTCTCAGTGCTGGGCCACAGTGCCTGCTCAGCACCGCTCCCACTATGTGCACCTAACTCCGCGAGGCAGAGGTTGTAGGCTGGTGACCCGGGGCCAGATGAGGCCTGTGGGAAGATCTGGGCCTGCGGTGTTTTTTAAACTTTTAAAATCAATTGCTGGCTGTTACCGTTTGACTTGTGTTCCCTAAAGGAGATGCCGAAGTCCTAACTCATAGTACCTGGGCATGTGACCTTATTTGGAAATAGGTCTTTGGAGATGATCAATTTAAGATGAGGTCATTAGGGTGGGCCCTAATCCAATAAAACTGTCCTTCCATAAAGAGGAAATATGGGCACAGAGACAGACACACACCCAGGGAGGATGCCATGTGAAGACGAAGGCACAGATCGGGGTGCAACATGCACAAGCCACAGAACGCCGAGATTGCCAGCACACACCAGAGCTGGGAGCGAGGCCAGGAACAGTCCCCCTCACAGCCCTCAGAGGAGCCAACCCTGCCGACACGTGGGCCTTGAACTCATAACCTTTAGTCATGTCAGATCATAGATTTCTGTTGTTTAAGCCACTCAGTTTGTGGTACTTGACTGTGGCAGCTCCAGGACACTAACATATGTATTGTTAAATGGGTCGATTTCACATAAAAATCTGCATTTCAGTGCAGACTTCCCTTGAAGCCAGGGAGTCCTGGGTCTGCATTCTTCCATAGTAACAAGCAGCCACAGCGAGACACCCACGTCCCTCGAGAGGGTCCGTGCCTTCCCGTAGACTGAGCTCCACCGCCCCTGGCTGGGGCCTGGGGGCCGGCACTGGGGACCCTCACGGAGCCAGCCCCTCCCTGCTCTGGTCCTCACTGCACTCATTCATCCCGACCCCTCTGAGCATCCCTTCAAAGCTACCAGGTCCCAACACCAGCCACGGGCTGAGTGCCTGCTGCGCACGGCCTCCCTGAAGCCCCCCCAGCGACACCGTGATATCGGTGCTATTATTATCCCCACTTTGCAGACGAGCACAGAGGCCGCGAAGTGACTTGCTCAAGGCCACCCAGATAGTTAGCAGAGCTGGCGCTCAAACCCAGAGCCACGCCGCTGCAGAGCCTGCAATCTTAACAGCGTGTGACCCCGAGTCGTCGGCAATCCCCCGCTCCCACTGGACGGGAAACTCCTGCAGGATAAGAGCCACGGCTGGGTTATCTCTGCTCCCAGATGGCAACGCGCGCAGGGGGAGGACAGATGGATGGGTGGACGCTGAGTGACGGCGGTGCACCGTCTGGCCCCGCCCCGCGACTCCGGGTCCTACCCTGATTGGTGCAGTTGGCGTGGGTCTCGTCGCTGTAGTCCCCGCAGTCGTTGTCCCCGTCGCAGGTCCAGTGCTCCGGGATGCAGCGCCCGCTGTTGCATTTGAACTGGGTGCTAGAGCACGAGTGGCTGCAGCCTGCCTCGTCACTGTTGTCCCCACAGTCATTGTCTGGGGGCGGCAAGAAGGGGAGAGGCAGGGAGCGCGTCAGCCAACCGCCTTCTCTGTGACCCCCGGCGGGGCCCCCACTCCCACCCCCCGATTCCCACCTCCCCACCCCAACCCCCCCACGGAGAAAAAAAACAAACAGAAAAGACACAGAAACTGCATAGACTGCAGCATGCACCATGGCCCACATGGGGGGAGGGGGGAGGCGGGGAGGGGCGGCGGGCGGGCTCCAGGAGGGCCCTTCCCTGAGTCTGGGAAGGCTGGGGGAGGGGCACAGGGCATGTTTCTTTCTTTTAGGCAGGGTGTGGGAACAGGGGTCTGTTTGCTTTGGGGGCAAGGCAGGGATTTATCTGGTTTTGGAGGGAGAGAGACGGGAGGAGTGTAGGTGAGGCCTCTGGGCAGGGGGTGGGGGGGCGGGAGGGGTGAGAGCTTAATCAGGCCCTGCCCTGAACTCGGGCATTGCTGGGCACCAGCTCAGAGGGGGCACTGCCTACAGCGGGGAGGGTGGGGGCTACAGGACGCTGGGGAAGATGGGGTTTGGCTACAGGGCAGTGTTCCTGCCTCTCTTCCCCCTGGGTGTGCTTCTCTAGCTCTCTCCTCCTCTCTGTCATCTCCTCTCCTCTGAGAGGTGCCTCTGCCCACTCGGCTTCTCCCTTCCCACTGTTTGCTTTCTCCTTCTGTCGCCTCCCCCCTCTCTCTTCTCCCTTTAGCTTTTCCCCCACATCCTAGGAGCTCTGGGAGGGGGCAGCCTGGGAGTCCTGAGGCCGCCAGAGGCCAGCGGGGGCTCTGGGTGATGGTGCATGTGCTTCTATGCACTGACCGGCAGGCTCAGGACAGGTCTTTTCGTCAGAGCCGTCCCCACAATCCTTCTCTGAAACACAGAAACCGCCAGGGCAACCATTGGCACACGAGACACGGCAAAGGTGAGGGGCAGCATGGCGCTGACCCCGTCCATCCTCTCACACGTCAGCCAGGGCTGGAGCCACTGTGCAACACGTCACAACACCACACAGACACAACCCAAGCCCTGAGACGGCACACACACGACAATCCCCTGGCCCGCGGCTCAGGGCTGACGTCACCTGGTCCATGGCTGACCGCCAGGTGGGCTCCTGAGCCTAGAGCAGGAGCCTGGAGGGTGCACCAAGGACTTCGGGAGATGGGATTTGCAGGGAGAAGGGAGCTGGGCCCTGGGCTCTCATTGCTCTGTCCCTCCGGCCCACTCCTCCCAGCCCTGCTCGCTGACCTCTCCCCGGCCGCCCAGCCTTTGCCGGGGGATAGACAGCTCAGACCCTGCCTGGGGAGGCAGGGGGCAGATGCGATGGGCAGGGTCCCCCCCAGTCCATCTGGGTTCCCCCTCGGCATTTCTGGCTTGCCCTCCGTTTTCCCATCCAATCCAGTGGGGCTTTCGTGAACCGGAGGGAGGCCCTGCTTGGTTCTAAAACCCCCTGGGCCTTACACCCCGGGCCTGGCTTCTAGCTTTCCTGGGAACCAGGGCCGGTGAAGGGAGTTTGCTCTTACCATTGTCACACCGCCAGTTGATGTTGATGCATCTGCCATTGTTGCAGGTAAACTGAGTCAGGGGGAAGCAGGTGGGATAGGCTGTCAGGGAGGAAATGTAGCTGCGTCAGGCACCCCCGATGACACAGCCTCGCAGCACCGGGCACGCAGGTGCAGGTGCTCTTGGAACTAGCAGCCCTTGTGTGGCCAGACCGGAGAGAAGGCTAGGCAGCCATGCCTCAGGCCGAGACCCCGCCCTCCATCCCCACCTCCCTGAGCACCCTGTTTAAAGCTGGTAGCTACCAAGCGTGGCCCTGTGCTGAGCGTTTCTCACGCCTGGTCTCACTGAACCCCACATCAGCACTATGATACCGGGGGTGTTATTATCCCCGCTTTGCAGATGAAATGCACAGAGGCCACCGAGACTAGGTAACTTGCTCACGACCACACAGCACTAACTTGCAGGGTCTTCCAAGCCCCTCCGCCCGGCCCCCCAGCCGGGGGGTGGGGGGGTGTTCTCATGGGTGACCTCCTCCGGGCCAGCCCGGCCTTCCCGCGTCCCTCTTACCGCACGAGGCCGACTCGTCAGAGCGGTCCCCGCAGTCGTCGTCCAGGTCGCACGTCCAGGAGATGGGGATGCAGCGGCCACTGGCGCAGGAGAACTGGTTGGGCGGGCAGGTCCGAGCTGCGGACAGAGGCGTGTGAGTGCTCCTAGTCCTGCCCCCTCTCCTAACTTTCCTTTCCTATTCTGAGTGTCATAGGAAGTCTCCCGAAGGCAGTGGTTCTCAACCTTGGCTGCACATTAGAATCACCTGGGCATCTTTTTAAAATCCTGATTTCTGGGCCTCATCCTCTGGAAATTCTGTTTCTTTATTACTAATGCTGTGGCCCCACCCCACAACAAAGAGACAGAATTTCCGGAGGATGAGGCCCAGAAATCAGGATTTTAAAGAGATTCCCAGGTGATTCTAATGTGCAGCCGAGGTTGAGAACCACTGCTAAGGGCTTCAATGCCATTTCTCCCGGAGAATTCCAAACCACCTCTGCGGCCTCACAGTGGCTGCATCGCCTCATCTCTCGGGGGGCCTCTGGCACCCTCCACGGAGAGGGCCCCCGGCCTCGCTCTTATCTCCCGTCTACAGCTGTGCTCTGTCCCCGCAGGCTCAGTCCTCCCAGCCAGCCTGGTCCTTCAGGGGAAGGGGCAGCACCCCTCTCCTCCTGCCCGGGGCCCCATCCTCTCTGCCCCCACGCCCTGGGTGCTTTTCTTTCTGCTCAGGCCCCTCGGTCTTCCCAAGCCTGGCTCCCCCGCCTCCCTGACTTAGAGGTGCCCAGGGCGGTCCACCCCCGGTTCCACACCTGAGCAGGTGGCGTTGGACTCGTCCTCACTGTTCCCACAGTCGTTGTCCCCGTCACAGAGCCAGCGGTTGGGGATGCACCGGTTGTTCTCGCACTTGAAGCGGTCTGAGGGGCAGGTGTGCTGATCTGGGGAGGGGACAGATCAGAGGTCACTGAGAGGGTGGGGCCCGCTCCCCCGGCAGGCAGAGCCCTCCACTGGCCTCCCTGCAGGCCCACCGCCGCCGAGGAGCGGGGAGGAGCGGGCGGGCGACTCACGGCAGAGGGCCGGCGCCTCGTCACTGTTGTCCAGGCAGTCGTTGTCCCCGTCGCACTTCCAGCGCTCCTGGATGCAGCGGCTGTTGGCACAGGCAAACTCGCCCGGCTGGCACTGGGGTGGGGGCACGTAGGATGGGTTCGCTGTGGGCACCACAGGGGGGTGAGGGGGAAAGTCAGACCCAGATCACGGGTCAGGTGCTAAGGCCCCTGTACTGTGCGTATTTTATTATTTAAAAATAACGCACAGAGTAATTTTACCTCGAGTGCAATTCTTCATGAGCAGGTTATCTGGTGAAAACTGCAACTATCTCAAGCCACAGGTGACACTCACTCTAACACGCCCGCTTACTCTAAGGTGCCCGGCACTTCCCAGTGGCCGGAGGATAAGCAGCTCCCACCCCCTTCGTGCCCCTGAGAGACCACTCCTCCCCCACTGCCACCTTCACCCGCGGCTCCTTGGGAGGTGTTCCTGGGCCTTCAGGGCCCTGCCCTGTCCCTGGCTCTCCCTTCACAAATGCTCACCCACCGCAGGAGCGAAACAGGCCCAGAACTCTGCGGGCTCCGCGGTCGCCCAGCACCCGCCTCACCACCTCTGTCTACCCTGGGCTACTAGGAGGAAAAGCACTGCCTCCTGTGTGTCTGCATCGGTCACCTCCAGACGCCCAAGGCAGCCCGTCCCTGGGCCTTACAGCGCTGTGCATGCCCTTTCTGGCCCATCGGTCATTCCCACTTCAGCCTTCCCATGGGCCCCGTGGCAGCTATTGTCTCTCCCACAGCCCATGGACTACTGAGCCTGGAGGCGTCCACCTTGCTTCTCGATCCTGCTTCCCGACTGTCCTCCCTCTCTTCTCTCTGCAAAATCCACACTGACTTTCCCGTTATCCGACCATCCCACCCCGACTTCTACAGGCCCCAGGCCACGCCCTCTCATCCGTAAGGGTTTTTAGATCCTGGCTCCAGTGTCACTCCTCCCAAAACCACTCTGCTTTAATTCTTGGTGATTTCAAAGTCCGTGGAAAGGATCTTTCCATTACCCTGGCCCCCCAGTTCCTCTCTCTGCCAATGCCAATGCCCTTGCCCTCCATCTGGCCTCAGGCACTCACTCTTTGCTGTGTGCTAAGGCCCCGCTACCCAGTTACACTCTGGGATTCTACGGTCAGGAACTCACTCAGAATATGGCAAAGCATGCAGGTGTGGGAAATAGGAGAGTGGGTGATTAAGAAACGGGACCTGGGTCAGACTTCCTGGGTTCACATTCCTGCTCTAACTTTGGGCCTCAATTTCTTTATCTGTAAATTGGGGATAATGAAAATATCTTTCCCACAGGAATATGTTAAGGAATAAATACGTTACTGCATGGGAAGTGCTTATAACCATGACTAGTGCATAGTCTGTGCTCAATAAATGTTGGCTGTGATTACAACAAAAAACTGGAACTAGTCCGACCAGTGTGGTTCAGTGGTTGAGCATCAACCTATGAACCAGGAGGACACGGTTCGATTCCCGGTCAGGGCACATGTCTGGGTTATGGGCTCGATCCTCTGTGTGGAGCGTGGAGGCAGCCAATCAATGATTCTCTCTCTATCATTGACGTTTCTATCTCTCTCTCCTCCTTTCCTCTCTGAAATCAATAAAATATATATTTAAAAAAAATAAGCAAACAAAACTGGAAACAACCTAAACATCCAACAATAGAGAAATGGTGAAGTAAATTATGGAACTTTTACTAATGAAATCTACTTCAGCCATTACAAATTCTGCTGATGTTTTCATGACATAGTGTCCAGTGACAAAAGCACAGACTAGAACAGGATGTGCAGCGGGAGCCGTCAGGAAAGGTGGAGAGAAACGTTAGGGAGGACGGCTTCCCAAATGGGAACAGTGGTAGCAGGGGGCGCTGGCCTTTGGGGTGACTTGTACTTTCTCCTTCTATTTTCTATCATGTTTACGTATTTATTTTTATAATGAGCACAGACTATTTTTATTTAAAAAGTGAGGCTACTTAAAATAATGCAAGAATAACACAGAAAATGCTGTGACACATGTGAACTCAAAAGGGCAGAAGATATGTTGGTAGGATTTGGGCTTTTTTTTCTCTTTTCTAATTTTTTTTTAATCCTAATGCAAGAATATGTTTTCACTGATTTTTTTTTTTTTTGAGAGAGGGAAACATTGACGTGAAAAAGAAATGTCGATCCATTGCCTCCCATATGCACTCCGACTGGGGACCAAACCCCCAATCTGGGTATGTGCCCTGACCAGGAATTGAATGTGCAACCTTTTTGGTGCATGGGACGATGCTCTAACCAACAGAGCCACCTGGCCAGGGCTCTAGTGCTTAGAACTATTGATATATTACTTTAATGGTGGGGAAAATAAAGATTAGTTTCCCCTAATCTTTGTGGCCTCTCACACTCCTCTCATTTCCCCGCTCCTGGCCCCCAGAGCCTTCTCTCGCCCCACCACTCGGCTCCTGTTGCTCCAACTGGTCCCTCTTTGCCTCCTTCGTCTCTTACTGGACCCCGTGGCCTCCTCCTACTGGGGCCTGTTTCCCTGCCTCCCACCCCAGCTGGGCCCCTCGTACCCATGCAAGTGACACCGTCTGCACCCAACACCTGGTCCTCGGCGCAGGCACACTGGCGACTCCCCGGCGTGGCCAGGCACAGGCTGCTGCAGCCACCGTTGTTCACCCGGCATTTGTTGGTGCCCACTGTGAAGGAGGGTCGTGGGGAGGGGTCAGAGGAGGAGGGGGAGGACAGGGGATGGAAAGGAAATGAGAAGATAGGGGACGAGATGCATTAAAGTGAGGAGATGGAGAGGGAGGAAGCATTGAGAGGACCCCAAGCATGTTGAAGAGCAGGAGACGTAGGCATGGCAGAGAGGGAGACAGGAAAGGAAGGGCAGATGAGGTCAAACAAGCTGCCGGCAGACCCCGTAGCACCCAGGCCTGACGGCATGTGCGTCTCACTCTAAGGGCAAGGGCTGGGGGCCTCTCTTGTTGAGAGCCTCAAAAGTCAGAGCCCAGGATCCCAGGGGGAGTGCCTTCAGCCCGCAGGAGCCTCACCCCCCATCTAGGTCCCACCCCGTCACCAGCCCCAGCCCCAGCCCCAGGGGGTACCTTGCTGCTGCTGAGCATCATACATGCGGATCTCAAAGATGGGGGGCCGCTCGCTACGCAGAAGGGTCACAGTGGGGGGTGCACCTCCTGCACCCCGCTCCAAGCGGTAAACGCTGCCGCTCCGGTACTCAGTCCAGAAGAGGTAGTTGCCGTGGTGACACAGGCCAAAGGCATGATTCAGCTCAGGACCTTCATATACAATCTAGGAACGGAGGGGAGGCTACTAAGGAGCTGGAGACAAACAGGGGGACCGAGGAGGCCCAGAGAGACGACTGGTTTGGACCCTCATTTATCCACATCCTGGGTGTGGGTCTTATTTCCTCCATTAGCCTGGAGCCCCTGAGGCTCATAGCATTGCACAGAGTGAGGTGCCAGACCCTGAGCCCAGCAGGAGACTGATGGCGAGCTCGTCCACACTGTCTTCTCTTGGGCCCATTCATCTCCCTCCACCACCCACGTGCACACCCATACCACACACACACACACACACACACACACACACAGTACTGAGCAGACAGCCAGAATTCAAACTTGCATTTCTTCTCCCAACAAACATTTGCCAGGATTTATTAAAGGCCAACCCACAGTAGGCACTAAGAAATGAAAAAGACACGGGAATCTGGGGTAGAGGAGGAGGTGGCCCTGACAGTGTGCCAGGTGAGGAGGAGCTAGGCAGAAAGAACTGCGTGAGCTACAGCAGAGAGGGCAGCGCCTTCGGGTGTGGTCCAGCCCCCAGACAATAGGCCCAGTCACAGATGTACTTTAACAACAGCACAACACAACACGTAAGACATACAAGCACACAGATGTACACATCCATGGGGACACAGGTAAACACACAGGAAGCCCACAGGCTTAGCCACACATTCACACAGAGCCTCATCCACACATGAAAGTGATCTGGCGACACACATATGAACACCCACACAGAGGCACGCCTGCCCACCTTCCGGTCGGTGCCGTTGAGCAGTATGGTCTCGATGCGGTCATAGAAGGCATCCACCCAGTAGAGGCGCCCGGCTGGGATGTCCAGGCTCAGCCCATTGGGCCACAGCACTGTCTTGGAGGTGACAAAGATGTCGCGGTGTGAGCCGTCCATCCAGGCCCTCTCTAGCCGCCCTCGCCGACTGTCCTTGGGGTCCTCCTCCCAGTCTGTCCAGTACATCCACCTGTGGGCAGCGACGGGTCAGCACCAAGGAGCCACCCCTGCCATTAACAATCCGCGTGTGTTGTCCCAGAGCCCTCACAGAGGTCTTCCTGCTCTGCTCAGCCCTGGCCCACACATTTCATTCACTTATTCCTCCATTCAGCCAATATTTGATGAGTGCCTACTGCAAGCTGGGCACAGTCTAGCACTTGGGGACCCAGAAAAGACCAAGGGCCAAGCTGGTGTGGCTCAGTGGGTTGAGCGGCAACCCATGAACCAAGAGGTCACCAGTTCGATTCCCAGTCAGGGCACATGCCCAGGTTGTGGGCTCAATCCCCAGTGTGAGGAGAGCAGGAGGCAGCCAATCGATGATTCTCTCTCATCATTGATGTTTCTATCTCTCTCTCTCCCCTCCCTTCCTCTCTCTAAAAAAAAAATCAATAAAAATTTTTTTAAGGGAAAAAAGAAAAGACCAAGGTAGCCTGGGCTCCTGCTCTCCTGGAGCCCATATCCCACCCAGGGAGACAGATAAGAAATAAGTCAACCCACAAGATCTCTCGCATCGGAGAGATAAAAGCAAGAACACGAAGCAGGTGACGACATGGGGAGTGACCGCAGCAGGTGAGGAAGGCCTCTCTGAGGAGGTGCCAGGTGAATGCTGCCAGGTGAATGCTGCGAAGGAGCTAGGCCTGCAAGTACCTGGGAATCCCAGGCAGAGGGACTACAAGAGCAGACGCTCCGAGGCAGGAACAGCTGGGGTGTCTCTTTGAGGCACAGACAAGGGGCAGTGAGAACAGAACGTCCAAGGGCAGGAAGTAAGGTGCAGATGAGGTCAAAAGAGCTGCATGCAGACCCCCTAGGACCCCGGCCTGATAAGGAATGTGGTCTCACTCTCAGGGCAGGAGAGCCCGGGAGGGCTCTGGGCTGGGGGTGACAGGATCAGATTTCTCTGTGTGTCTGAGGCATCACTCCCATTGCACTGAAGACGGGGACATCTCCCTTTCAGCTTCCCCTTCTTGCCTAAGCATCCCACCTAGGCTGCCCTCTCCTGTTCCCTCTCCGTCTCATCTGCCACTTCTAAGACCCACAGGGTGCCGGGCCCACCCAACCCAAGGCCGAGGAGGACTCACCCATTGAGTGGGTCCACCACAATGGCCCTGGGGTGTGTCATTTTGCCCTCTATTAAGGTCTTGCGGGTCTGAGCAGCTTTCTCCAGCCTGGCCACGCTGATGGTCTTCTTGGGCCCATCATCCGTCCAGTACAAATTGTCCCCCATCCAGTCCACGGCCACGCCCTCCACATTGTGGATGCCTGCAGGGAGTGAAGGGGACAGCGATGGAAGCTCAAACGGCCTGCCCCTGGCCCTTAGGGTGCACGTACCTTTGAGCAACTTGGCTTGTAGGGAGGGCTGGGAGCCGTGTATGCCCAAGACAGTGGGTGGGACGGGGATGGGAGGATGGAGGAAGGAGCATTTGTTTTTGTGGTTATTTTTTTTTAATATATAATTTTTTATTGATCTATTTTTTATTTTTTTTTATTGAGAGGAAAGGAGAGGGGGAGAGAGAGAAACATCAATGATGAGAGAGCATCATTGATCGGCTGCCCCCTATAGGTCCCCTACTGGGGACTGAGCCCACAACCCAGGCATGTGCCCTGAGGGGATGTGAACCCTGACCTAGTTCATAGGGCGACGCTCAATCACTGAGCCACACCGGCCGGGCACAGAAGATCATCTGTGTTGCCTCGCTGTGTTGAGGCACAGAGCTGTACGTGACAGCCAGCACACCTCCGTGGCGGAGGCCGGCTCTCGGGCGGGGCATGTCTGGGCCTGAGCGAGGGTGGACAGCTTCGGCAATGTGCTCTGGGCACAAGTGTGACGCCACGTCCCAGCCCTAAAACTCCTGAGCTGACAAAATGAATAAATCAGGAAGTGATTTTTCACTTAGCAAAAGGCTTCGTCCTCAGTGCCCTTTAAATAGCAGTTCCCCTGGTACAGGGAACCCCAATCTTTTCGTGATGAGGAATTACTTTTGATTTCTCCAGAGTCTTATGACTGCTGACTGCTGAGGTTCTCTGGCCTGTGGGGAGGGTGGGGAGCAGGGCAGAGGGTGGTCACTGGTGTCAGCTAGTTGCCCAGCCCTACCCTGGGGCCGTGTGCAGCTTGGGAATCCCTCACGCAGGCCGGGAAGTGGCAGGGCTCAGCCCAGACCCATGCAGGCTCAGAAGACAGTGCCCTGGTGACCGGCCCCAGGAGCTCAGAGGGAAGAACTGACTCAGTCCACAAAACCCCATTTCCTGCCCCGGCGGGTTTTCTCCGTAGTTAGAGGGTCGGCCCTCGGACCGAAAGGTCACGGGTTCAATTTCCGGTCAAGGATGCATACCTTGGTTGCAGGCTCCATCCCCGGCCTGGATCAGGGCACGTGTGGGAGGAGGCAGCCAATCGATGTGTCTCTCTCACACCCATGTTTCTCTTTTTTCTCCCCCTCCTCCCTCCCTTCAACTCTCTAAAAACCAATGGGAAAGTATCCTCAGGTGAGGATTTAAACAAACAAACAAGCAAACAATCAAACCACACAATTTTCTCAGAACGTGTGAGCACGCAGCGCTGGGCAGCGCAGACCCTGCCTGTGCACGCGGTGCTGGTGTGCCTGCTCTGATTCAGGGCGCCAGGCCTCCCCGGGCTGTGTGCGACGTGCAGCTCCGGGGCTCGGAGCCAGTGGCTGGGAGACCCTGAGTTTTCCCAAGGGCTGGCAGGGACAGCCCACGCCATCCATCCATCCTCCTGCCTCTTGTCTGCTCAGCCAAGAAGGGGGTCACCCAGGGGTCAGTCTGTCATCCCCTCATCTCCATGCCAACCAGCCCAGCCAGCCAGTCAGCAGAGGGCGGGGGCACCGGGACAGATGTCTAGGCCCCAAAGCGCTTCCCATCCCAGGTGGGCGATGCCCCTGGGGAGTCCTGTCCACACGCCTCCCACCTCCGGGCCCTCACCGTCCTTCAGGATGGTCTCGCGCTCAGTGCCGTCGATCTTCTGGCGGCCGATGAGGTAGCTGGTGGTGTCGGCAAAATAGATGAAGCCGCTCTCAGCATGGAAGTCCAGGGCTCGGGGGTTCATGAGGTTCTCGATGGGGATCATGTGCTCGTCTGGGACCTTGGCCCCCATGTCCATGCCCCGGATGATGCCTGGCCGGCCCTTGCCGTACACAAGGAACAGCTCGTGTTCTGGCTCTAGGGCAGGCACAGACGGAGGCACAAAGTCAGACACACACATGCATGTGCACACACGACCGCCCCCTCCAAGGGGCTGCAGGGCCCCTGCTGTACTGGGTCAGGGGCTGTGGGGGCAGCAGTGGCTCTGGGTCACAGGGACAGACAGACAGACGTAGAAGGCCCAGGGGACACCGCCCTGGAGGTTTTACCTTCCCCAGGAGTGGGAAATGGGGCAAGTGTAGCAAGTAGCATGTTTTTAGTGACGCGTACTGCTCGGTAATGAAAGCAGTGGCCCCAAAGGAGCACCTTCAAACTATGCTGGCATCTGACCACTTTCCACCGCTTCCTCAGCTAAGGTCCTAATCTCAGCCACTTCACTTCTTGCCTGAACGGGCTGCGGCCCTCCTCACCCCAGCAGCCATGTGATGTCACTTCTGCTTGAAAGTTGCCAAGCCCACACGGCCTCAGAGCCCAGGCACCGTGGGTTCCCTCTGCCCTTCCCGCAGGTAGCTCCTCACTCATGGATTGCTCGGCTCAAACTCCACCTCTGCGGAGAAGTCTTTCCTGGCTGCTCTATCTACACCGGAGCCCTCAGGTCATCGCTAACTCTACTCACCATTTATTTTCTTCCTAACACCTACCACCACCTGAAGTTTTATATTTATTTGTCTGTCTCCCCTGCCAGACTGTACGCCCTGGAGGACAGAGATGACATCTACCTGTTCACTGCTGAATTCTTATTTTAGGACAGCGCCAGACACACAGGACATGCTCACTACTTACTTGTGGAAGGAAGGAAGAGAGGGAGGGAAGGAGGGAGGGGGAAAGGGGCCAGTTTACAGTCTTCTATGGAGCTGGAGTGGGATAGTGGGAAAAGGCTTGTTTTCAGATGTGGGTTCAAGTTCTGTGACTGTCCCTTACTAGCGATGGAACTTTGGTCAAACGCCTCCATCTCTTCATCTCAGACAGAAGTGGTAGGGCTGTGGGGAGGCGGGGAAGGACACCCTCCCACCCACCCCAGCAGGCCCGCAGGCCCGCCCTTCACTCACTCTTGCATGACTTCCCATCACTGCCCAGGCTGAAGCCGGAGCGGCAGCGGCAGGTCCGCGCCTTGTGGCTGTTGGCCAGCAGGCAGATGTCGGAGCAGCCACCCGGCTTCCCGTACTGGTCGTTCTCGCAGGCGTGGCTCCTCACTAGAGCGGGGGCGGGGGGGTTGGGGGGTTGGTCAGGACCCTCAGAGCCTCTGTGCCTAGGCCTGCAGAGGCTTCCTGACGTCTGCCCACACTCCCCCCTGCTGTGGTCTTTGTGCCCATGGTCCCGTGTGAGGAGTTAGAAGCCCAGGACTGGAACTCCTCTGTCCCACCACATCCCAGCCACTCAAGTGGGGGCCGCTGTGGCCAGGGGGAGTCCCACGGCTGCCCATGCCAGCGGCTTCTCCTCTAGACCAACCAGGGGAGGGACGGGAGGAGCACTCTGTGTCCTTGGCAGAAGGGGAGGGGGCCCCCTGGGGGTGGGATCTGGATGCCGAGGGGCAGGAAGGGGCTGTCAGAGGGATGAGTGGCCAGGGGTGTCGTATGGTAGGAGAAGCAGTCATGACACGAGAGAATCGGGGGTTCCCACAGGGGGGCCCCTGGAAGGGCTGGGGAGCTCTGCTCACCTCGGGGCTGACGCCGCTGGTGGTAGATGTGGAGGGCGCCCCCCTTGTCCACTCGGGTGACGACCTGGTAGTCAGTGCTGTTGAAGCGGTTCACGCGGATCACGCTGGTCTTCTGCTGGGCGTTGGCATTGTCCGAGTTGGTGGCGTAGAGGTAATTCTCAAACACGGTCAGGCCGTACAGGTGCTCAATCTGAGAGGGGCAGGCAGCATGGTGAGCACAAGAGAAAGAACTCCTCCCTGTCTCGGAGAGCCCCTCAGCTTCCCATCCAGACGCCATTATCTGTGCTCCTAACGCCATTCCACCGCCGCCTAACGCTACGCTTCCTCCCCCTCTGGCTGGGCTACCCCGTTGTTGAGCTCTTCGCGTGTCAAAACCCCACTCATCCTTCACAGAGCGTCTCTTCCAAGAGCTTCCGGAACCAGGGATGCTCTCTCCTTCCGCACTCCATTTCTCTAGGGTTTTTTCTGCACTGCCTGGTGGTTTGTGGACTTAGCCCACCCAGTCTGCTCAGATCCCTTGAGGGCAGAAACCACATCCCCCGCAGAGCCAGGCCTACAGTGGATGATGGCATGATTCCGATGAAATCGGAGTTGGGACCTAAACTCTGTCCACAGAGAACATTCTTAACCCAACTCCAGCGCCCCGCGAGGGGAGGGTCGAGAGGACAGACTGGCCTGCTGCCCATAACTTATCTATTATCTAAGGCAGTGATGGAGAACCTTTTGAGCTCGGGGTGTCAGCATTTTGAAAAACCCTAACTTAACTCTGGTGCCGTGTCACATATAGAAATTTTTTTATATTTGCAACCATAGTAAAACAAAGACTTATATTTTTGATATTTATTTTATATACTTAAATGCCATTTAACAAAGAAAAATCAACCAAAAAAATGAGTTCGCGTGTCACCTTTGACACACGTGTCATAGGTTCACCATCACTGATCTAAGGTAAACAACTGTCCCAGTTTGTCATGGGACTTTCAGGACTAACACCAGGAAAGTCCTGGGCAAACCGAGATGGCTGTCACCCTAATCATCCCAGAATGGAGTGCCATCTGCCCTGGCAGCGCTTCTAGACGAGGTCCGAGGGCTATTTCCTGTGACCTCAGGCAAATCCCTTAACCTCTGGAGCCCTGCTATTCCCATCTGCCGAAAATGAACTGCACCTATCTGCTCATCCGCCTCCCAGGGGTCACTGTAAGGATCAAATCGGAAAAAGGAAGCCAAAGGTATCTCTAAAACGACTGTTCCCATCGGGGTGGAAGCCATGTCCTGTCCTTTCCCCAAAGTGCTCATGACCACCCCGGCCCCCCAGGGGGCCCCCCCGGGTCCCCTGCGAAGGCTCCCCCTCACCAGGATGCCCTGGATGATGGTCTGCCGGCCCTTGCCCTCGTAGTCCACCACCTCGATGTAGTCCAGGTAGGCGTCGGCCCAGTAGACGAGGCGGCTGACCAGGTCCAGCGTGATGCCATGAGGAAACACAATCTTGCTATCGACCAGCTTGGTGCGGTTCTGCCCATCCATGTCGCAGCGCTCCACCTTTGGGATCTGCCCGTAGTCGGTGAAAAACACTTTCCTGTGGGCAGATGGCACATTACAAGAGTTCTGGACGCCGGGTACCCACCCTTCCACCGTAGCTTCTGCCTCCCCCTTTCCAGGGCAGAGCCCTCGTACCCCATGGTAGGGTCCAGTGCGATGCCCTTGGGGTTATAGAGCTCCAGGTCCAGCAAGGTGACACACGTGTCGCCATTTCGGTTGCAGACGAAGATCCTATCGTCGATGTCATCCACAAAGTAGAAGTTGCCCGTCAGCCAGTCAATGGCCATCTGCTCTACGTCTGGAGAGTGCGAATGAAGGAGCGATGGGGGAGGTGCTCCCGTAGACATGCCCACCCTGGGCTCCTGCAGAGCCCACTCCCCCTGGGCGCTCCCCTCCACCACCCAGGCCACGGCCGGCTCTGCTCCCTGAGCGCCTATGGGAGTTACCAGAAGCCGTACATTTTGCCTTGAGATCTTTGCCATCTTCCCACCTTTCGGGTCTCTCCCAGGAGAAGTCTCAAAGTACCTTCCCACACAGCCCCACTCCCCATGCCGAGGCAGGGCAGGCACACAGGGGGCACGGGGTACAAGCTTCCCGAACTCCAGCTCCTCTTGGAGTCCCCAAAGATGGTGAGGACAGGTTCACTAGCTCATTTTAGATTGTTTTTTTTAAAAAAATCTGCTTTTATTTGAGATAAGAGCACTCAGGCTAATTAAAACATCACGCAATGTTTGGCCACTCACACAATTCTTTATTTTTAGCTGGACTTTCACATATGGTAAGCCAAGTTACCCCATGCTAGCCAGAGCACTGACTGGAAGCTGTTACATGTTGCATGACTCTTAAAAAATGGAAAAGCAAGCACTTGTCAATAAATCCAATCTGAGAGAAAAGAACGCCAAAACATGGGGCCCAGATGGATGGAAACGGGAAGGCCCCTGGTGGCCGAAGGCTGGATCCAGTGACGGAGGCCACACTTCCTCATTCACCCCCATTCCTGTTCCTTCAGTGTTCCTATTGCTCAATGTCCTTATGTTAGGGAGGGCTGGAGGGGAGAGCATAGGACTCTGAAGGCAAACTGAGGCATGAGGGGCAGCTCCAGAAGGCTGGGTGTGGGGGAGCAGGAGGGGGACGAGAGCCACACTCAGTCCACAGCCATGGGTCTGGAGAAGGTGCGAGAGGCCAAAAAGCTAAAGAGAGTAGGGGTGGGATGAGGGCAGCGGGAAATCTAGGAGGCGGCAAGTCTGAGGACAGGGACCCCGGCTGACCTCCTCTGGGCCCCTCTTCTCCTGGACCCACTGGCCACCCACTGTCTTCTCCAACTACCACCCTCAGAAGTGATGCCTCTTGCAAACTGGAGAATTCCAAGACAGTGACTCCCTGGGACCCCTGCCTTGCACTCCACCTCCACCAATTTCCCCAACAGGGAAAGAAATCTCGGATGACCTGTCTTTGGCCGATCGCACCCCCTTTACTCACACTCGACCCAGTGGGACTCATTCTGCCCCACGCAGCTATAGGTGTGATGACTGGGAATCCAGCTCAGCCCCTCCTGATCCTTCCCCTCCCGACAGGGGCTCAGGGTCTGTTTCCCAACAGTGGGTGGGGGTGGGGGGCAAAGGGAACAGGAACATGGTTCCCAAGGAACTTGGCTGGGCCCTGCCACTGACTCACGGTCACAGGACT